ACGCGGCATTCCACCTCGCCGCCATATGACAATCGTTGGAATGATGGTGCATGAAACGTGCTCGGTAGTATACGCATATCCGAAGATGAGCATCCTTGCTTTGACAGCACATATTATGTAAGACAATCCAAACGCCTTCGTCTCCAATGCATGTCTTCCTAAAATGCTGCTCACTCCAACGAAGCCAGCTTGAAATTAACTACAAAGCGCATGCGCAAACCTCCCAGCCGGCCGTGTCTCCTAAACGTACGAAGACTCCTCTCCGGAGAGTGCCACACGCTGTGCAGACCCGCCCCCCCCCCCCCAAAAAATAATCAAATTTAGTGTAGGTCCACGCGGAAATGAAATGATGGGAAAAGTTTTGTGCGGCAGCTCACTCAGTCTCAGAGCGGCAGATTTTAAAGGGCCCACGCTGCACCGACGGCGACGATTAAGTTATGCTGCACTTAATCCAACAGCGTCCATGAAGGTGCTATGCAAGTTTAAAGTACAGTGAAGAGTTCCAACACCCCCGCCACCACTACTGCTCGTTGCCAAGAATTGCACTAGGCTACGATCAGAAGTTCTGCTGGTGTTGTTGCCACGACGTGTTTTGGCCGGGCCTAGCCATTCATGCTGAACTTCTTTGCCATTGCCCTAGGAGCTCGGCCAAGATTTTCTTCGGTGAAACTCGCCAAGCTGATTTTTGCGTGGTCACTTACCATTTTCTGTTGTTTTAAACAAAAAATGCTGGTCTGAGAAATGTGATGGGGGCGAAGGCTCCCGTCTTGCTCCTTTGACCTCACTTATGCATTGTTCAAAAAAACCTCACTCGGTGTTGGGACTTGTGTCTGAAACCATCTGAGCCGTAAGATCTATAATTTTATGATTATAAGAGCCTCACATCACCACCCTTCGATCTTGCTCCCGTCCTACGCACTCAAAACTTCTGACCACCAAATTTCTAGAGGCAGCGAAGAAAAACAAACGGCACCGCCCACAAGATACCAGCAGGTTATCGGTGGCTGGGATCCTTGCTGGATGTTATCCCACGACCGCAACGGTAGAGCTCACAGGAGCACCAGACCAGTGGAGCCTACAGGAGCACCAGACCAGTGGAGCTCACAGGAGCACCAGACCGGTGGAGCCCACAGGAGCACCAGACCGGTGGAGCGCACAGGAGCACCAGACCAGTGGAGCCTACAGGAGCACCAGACCAGTGGAGCCCACAGGAGCACCAGACCAGTGGAGCCCACAGGAGCACCAGACCAGCAGAGCCCACAGGAGCACCAGGCAAACCGGTGAAGAAGGCTTGAAGCCCGCAGGCGGCCGGCGGTGGTCGGCGTGCGTGTACACCGCTGCTTGTAGTCGCGCATCGGTACTTAGGACTGCGCGCTTTGCGTGCATCCACTCACAGGGCAGGGGGAGTCGGAACGCGCATGTGAACAGCCACCGTGGCCTTGATGGCGACTCGTCTTCTGTCTCAGCTGGCGGCATCTCACCCGCGCCGAGACCGTTTTCAACTGGCGGTATCTCACCCGCGCCGAGACCGTTTTCAACTGGCGGTATCTCACCAGAGCCGAGACCGTTTTCAGCTGGCAGCATCTCACCCGCGCCAAGACCGTCCTCAGGGCCGACATCTCACCAGCGCCAAGACCGTTTTCAGCTGGCAGCATCTCACCCGCGCCAAGACCGTCCTCAGGGCCGACATCTCACCAGCGCCAAGACCGTTTTCAGCTGGCGGCATCTCACCCGCGCCGAGACCGTCCTCAGGGCCGACATCTCACCGGTGCCAAGACCGTTTTCAGCTGGCGGCGTCTCACCCGCGCCGAGACCGTTTTCAGCTGGCGGCATCTCACCCGCGCCAAGACCGGTTTCAGCTGGTGGAATCTCACCCGCGCCGAGACCGTTTTCAGCTGGCGGCATCCCACCCGCGCCGAGACCGTTTTCAACTGGCGACATCTCACCAGCGCCGAGACCGTTTTCAGCTGGCGGCATCTCACCCGCGCCGAGACCGTTTTCAACTGGCGACATCTCACCCGTGCCGAGACCGTTTTCAGCTGGCGGCATCTCACCCGCGCCGAGACTGTCCTCAGGGCCAGCTTCTCACCAGCGCCGAGACCGTTTTCAGCGTCGGCGCACGCCTGCTCCTCGTTTTACAGAAGCGCCTCGCCTGTCCGTGTCGATTTGGTTGGGTGTTATTCAAGACAGTCGCTCTGTGGGGCCTTGACTCGACTCAAACTCAGGGTTCTGGACTAATGGCTGCACCCCGTGACGCGGCGCCATCGACGTCGGCGGACCAGGGAAGCGTCAACGGGTTGGCTTTGATTCAACCAATGCATGGATGCCTTCGCACACAACCTGAACAGCGCAGTGCTTCGGTCTGTTAAGGTGGAAAGAGCTGGTCAAACACGCTCTTGAAACAACGGCGTGTAACACTTTTAGAAACGTTTCACTCACCTGGCCCAAACACATAAGCATATCCCCGAGCGCAAGCTTCACTTAAATGTAATTGGTTCGCTCATCAGCATCATTCAAACATTGGGAAGCCTTCTCAATCGAGCGGCCCATTAGCTTTGGGGTTATTCCCCCATCCCCATCCCCAACACGACTGTTTTCGTACACCTGACTTAAGGCGACGATATTTGACCCAGTTCACATCCATACGGTTCATTTTGCTTAAAATCTTTTCTCCGCGCGCAATCGAGTTTCCCTCGTCGTCTCGTGCGCCAGTTTTGACGACAGCGTCCAACTCCCTTCCCTTCTCCGACGCTCTGCCTCTATCTCTTTTCACATTCAGCCTTTATCCACGCAGATTCGCATTTGCCCCCCACTGACATTGAGAACAGCTAACGATCCGTACGAGCTCTGTAGGCCGGTCCAGGCTCTGGCACAGTTTCCCTCGCCGCTCCGCCTGCGTATGTGCGTAGCTGCTCGGGCGGCGGCCGGTCGAGAGGCATCTCTGACGTCCAGCCTCCGGCCCGTATTGATCTGCGCGCGGGAAAATTTCTGCCCCTGCGCAGGGGCGGCGCCAGGCCAGGGGCTGGGGTCGGCTAACCCGCGGAGACCCAACCGGCCAAAGGTCGCCCGCTCTCCGCTTGGTCACTTCCCGGTTCGACCGGGTCGGGTCGCGACCTGACCGCTGGGTGCGCCCCTGCGTCGACCGCCGCCCGAGCGCAGGCTCGGCTGTCGCCTGGAGCGGAGCCGCACCTCGTTGAGATCCATACGCGTCGCGTCGCGTTCCGTCAGCGTGCGCGGTGAACGTTGAACCCCCCGCCCCGCGATTGATCGCCGCCCGGCGCCGCCGGTCGCGACAGACCAGACCAGACCCGGTCAGGGCAGACCTCAGAAGCGGCCGCGGCTACGCCCCGAGCGCCCGGCCGTCGCCGCAGCAACAAGCGGAGCAGATCGCGCCCCCCGTCGTCCCGCAGGTCAATATTTACGGCGCCTCTGGGCACCGGGTCAGAGCGAGCAGGCGTAAACGGGGCCGGCGCCAGCAGCGGAGCGCAGCTTGAGCGGTTGGCGGAGGACCACACGCGCGCGCGCCGACCTGCGGAGGAGGAGACGCCATGGCGACCTGTCCACACCGGCTCTGAGCTCCCCGGCTAAGGTGGGTCATGTCTGTGCACCGCGCACTACCTTCGCTGGATACTGAGCTACGGAAGCCCTCCGCTGAGGCGTACCCGTGAGGCTGAATTGTGACTGTGCGACGCGTCTAGACGTGTGCGTGAGTCCATGTCTTGGCCTGCGTAATTCAGTCACGCAAGCAATTTGATTTTGTTGAAATTGCTGAAATTCATGCAGCTATTTGAGTGAGCGGATCCGGCATGCACCACGTACGACTCCAACCAGCATTTGCACCGTTTTCGTGAAGCCAGCACGTCACACCCGACATTGTGGCATTGGTGAGAAACAGGTCAGGTCCCGACCGGCCAGAGCCGGGCGGTGCTGAACGGACAGCCGACACCTAGCACGCCGGTAATGGAATCCCCGTGTTAGCGCCACGGTGACCGTTTGGCCGCTTATTCTGCGAGACAGGCAATGCGTCTTGTACGGTATGGCAGCGGAACAGCGTCGGGCGATTACACCGCCCTCCCCGGCTCTGGCCTGTTTGTGCGGAGTGCGAGTCAGCAGCAGGCTGTGAATCCGCTCGGTGATCACGCTATGCAAATTTCGGCACCGAGCGGTCGTTATTTTGGCCCTAATGATTCTGCTAGGAAGCCTGGGGCAACATCACACGTCGTTGGGGAGTCTCACCCATTGGCTCGAATTTAGATGGTGCAGGTATGCATTTAGATGAGGTGTGTTTGATCTGGAGAGCAGGCTCAACGTTCTCCGATATTCACTTGGGAGCGGGAATTTTGCAGTTGAAATAGTGGATTTGCAAACTTTTTCCGAGTAGAGACTCGCGCATTTTGGTACAAAAACACCAGCCAGATTAGTTGTTACTTTCTTGGCAACAGTTTGCAATCCAAAGATGTCTACAGCCGCCATAATAAGATAATTCCAAGAAAATTGTAGGAGACATTGCAGTAGTTTTTCGCTCAAAATGCCTAGGTGAAAAATTACTGTTCAGCGGATGAAGCATAAATTAAAGACTCGCTCACACCTTGCGGGCTGGCTGCGCAGCACGCCGCGGATTCTGCGGTCGTTAGCTGCTGCGGACCGGGGACGCCATATTGAAGCCCGCAGACCGACAGAGCGTGGGTGGAAGGGTTTAGAAGTGGTGTTTCTTGTTACCGGCAGCGCGAGTCTACAGATTCCGGAGCGTATTCTGCAATGGCCAGTTGTTGCAGAGCAGAGAGGTAACACCTTTGAACTCTTTTTATCCATGCCTTGTAGGTCTACGGGCTGAAAAGTCGCATCCGCGTCATACCTGAATCCGCAGCAGCTAACGGCTGCAGAATCTGCAGCAGATTATGTGGGAGATTCTGCAGCCAGTCCGAAAGGTGTGAAAGGCCTCAAAGGGAGTGTCTTTCCCCTGGGCGTATTTCAAAAATATACTCGGGTGAAACCTCAGGACCATCTACGCCTAAAAAAAGCACTAGGCAGTGCCATGCTGCTGGATCACCACTAAGACGCAATGAGGAGATGTATTTCAATAACGCTTTAGTCCAAATCACGCTGCCAACGTTTTGTCACAGGACTGCCGTTCTTTTTTTCTTTTTTTTTTCTTTGTAGCCCCAAACTGTAACGCTCCAAGCTTTCGTAGCATCTATTGCAAACGTTACGCCCGCAAACGTACCACAAGCATTACAAAATACACGCCTTGAAAAGTCGAAGCAAATGGGAAACATCAATTTTTGAGCGCTAAGCAGAGAGTTCAGTAAGATTTCTCCTGCCGGGGAGGCTATTTTAAAAAAGGACTTATGAATTATTCAGAAAGATTTCGAGAACACTGGTATTATCGACCCAACCGCATGTGGTCTAACAATAATTAAAAGTACCAAGAGGTGACGTACTCTACTTAGGGCCTACCCGAATGATATAAATCTGAGTTTGGTGTGCAGCGTTAAAGGCTACACGAAGCACACCACGACGAATTGATTGATGCTTTTCAAACCTCTGTTCCGTGATTCACTTGAGGTCAAAGCACCCATAGCGATAACCATATCGGAAGTGAGATAGGTGGTGATTATAAATGTGACCACATGGAAAGTCAGGTAGTGGTGATCGCAGCTTTATTCGGCGTTTTCAGGCATACAGTGCGATCGAAACGGCTTGCTTGTTGTGTAATGAATTGCACGAGTGCACTTCTTGGCATTATATGCGGTACCATCGGTCTCACAGGTGACTAGCCTGCAATACGTGGGGCACCCGTTGTATACTTCTTGGAGACCATCCTCATGTAACATCACATGCCACAAGCCTGTTACCATGACGTCAACTGGATGTTGGACGGTTTACCTAAATGTCGGGCTGATGTTTCCTCTTCTCAAAGTGATCGCCGAGCCGTGGGTTGGTTTATTCAGACCGTTTTCCTGGGAACGCTGGCTGCGAGTGCTGTTCATTGGCCATATGACTGTGGCCGGCGGCCAATCGGCAGTCGTGAATTTACACGTAGGCACATTCTTCAATATCTGGATCAGACTTAACGTATGTTGTGCTTTGGGAAGATGTCATATACCTGCTTTTTTGTGCGACAATCCGTTTTGAGAATCATTCGCTGAGGTTAAACCATCTCATCGCCGTGAAATTAAAGAGGATATCTGCCCGGCAGCTGCCAGCTCGCTTCCATGCAGAACACGCTGGATGCTTCTATTCGTTTCCGTATCGATATGACCCGTTTTGGCTGAAGCGGTAAAATTGTTCGTGACATCCTGATTATCACTTTGGCACATCCTGACGACCACCTGACGCTCCACATTCCACAGGGGCGCTCCCAGGCTATATCTTTGAGGCATGGCAGGACAAAGTGTGATGTTTTGGGAGTGTGGTTGTGCTGAGTACCCAATGCTTCAAATTTTTGAAAGCTGTTCTGTCTAAATGAAACAAGTTTTATCTGTTAGTACATATTGAGTAGTCATTTGGCGCTTCACGAGAGAAGTGGAATTGTCATTAGCAAATGCAGAACCACTTGGTGTGTGAGTGCGACAGTAAGCGGATGCATAATAAGATGACGTTCGGGTGTAAGACAATGTCGTGATTAATGGACCTTGATCTTGGTACCAAGATCGGTGTGTTTCCTGCGTTATAATTTTTGAATTATTGACTGTCATCTGGTCAGTGATTGATGCATAAACATTGCAGAGAGAGATAAACGAGGTGACAGTGGTAGACACACGGAACGTTATTGGGAAGTGGGGGCTCAGATTTCAGCTCGAACAATCATCAACTTCATGTTTATTGATAGCGAAGCACATATACAATTCCAGCTGGGTCCAAATATTGCCCATACGGTTGCGATGCATTGGACAGGCGATTACAGGCACGGAACCCTACCGAAAAGTGGCTTCTCTGGTTTGCACGCATCCCAGCTCTGTGTCAAATAGGTACCCTCTCATCACACAGTTCGTTTATCTTTCATCCAAACGTGCCCTGGGGTGATTCCAGATGTAGACGCATGCGTTATCATGCGATGTCGGGAGGCAAATGGTGCCTTTACATTGTACCGCTTCGATCAATATCAAATGTATTCAAACAGTAACAAATATCAAGCGACCAAACCAAGGTTTTTCTATTCCCCGCCGTCGATGGGCCCTTGACATGTTCTAAATTGGCATTCAAACACACCAGTGAGGATTGCAAGCTTTTAATTTGGACGATGCCCGTCAATAGTTATTCAAAAATTTTAAGACCTCGTAGTGGTCGATAGGTCTCCTGTGTGTCTTTAAAGCACAATTCCCGAAAATCTATGAAAAAGCGGACAGGCATCATTAAAAACAGAATTGCCGCCTTTTCTTCAGGGACCCCCGCACCCCATCCGATCCGCTCATCTCCTGAGGGATTCCATCCCATCCCATCCCTTCATCTACTCAGTGATCCTATTCGTTCATATCCTCAGCGATCCCATCCCACCCTATTGGTTCATTTCCTCAGTGATCCTACCCGTTCATCTCGAAATGACCCCGTCCGTTCACCTTCTCACTGATCGTATCCCATTCAATTCGCTCATCTCCTCAGTGATCCTATTCTTTGATCTCGTCAGTATCCCCACCCCAACCGATTCGTTCATTTCCCAATGATCCTATCCGTTCACCTCGTCATTAATCCCACCCCAGCCAATTCGTCCATCTCTTCAGTGGTCTCATCCCATCCTTTTCGTCCATCTTCGCAGCGATCCCATTCCATCGCGTAATATCCCCGGTGATTCCACCCGACCTGCCCATTCTCCCATCCACCAGTCCACCCCGCCCACTCGCCCCTGGAGGCTATGAGCACCGGCAGATCCAATCCCAAAGTTAACGGAGAACTGTCGTGACGGGGGCGGTGTCGGCAGGAGCGGCGTCCAGACAGCGTCGACCTCGTCGGTGCGGCGTCCAGACAACGCCGATCTCGTCGGCTGGACACTGTTGCCAGCGAGAATGGAGCAACTTGGCCAGGCAGCTTTTTGCCAGCCCTTCAACTCAGCGACCTAAGATTTCCTGTTCCTGACGCCGTGTAGCGTATGCTAGTCGGTTTTTGGCTGGCATAAGTCGGGGTACAGGCAGACTGCTGGGCCACGCTGTCCTGATGCCATGCAGGATCCCTCCGCCGACGTGCGGACGGCCAGTGGTCACGACACCGACAGCGAAGGTAGAGATCAAGCCTCAAACCCAGCCGGGAGTCCTATCTAAACTGCCGTGAGATTCCCAGCCAGTCTTGGATGGCTCGCCGGGCAAACCTGGGCGGTTTGAGCCGCGAGGCGCGGCAGTGCAGCGGTTTGTAGGAGCGGTGCCGCCCCCGCACCGCCGACTGTTGGAGCGGTGCCGTCCCCGCACCGCCGGCTGTTGGAGCGTCGCCGTCCCCGCACCGCCGACTGTTGGAGCGGTGCCGTCCCCGCACCACCGACTGTTGGAGCGGTGCCGTCCCCGCACCACCGACTGTTGGAGCGTCGCCGTCCCCGCACCGACAGTGCAACCGGAGGGCCCAGAGCGGGAGCAATCTGGCTGAAGTACCGCGGAGAGCGCA